TATGTTTTTCCCATAAAATCCTATATTTTCTGTTGTAATATGTTGTAGTCAAACGTGTAATTGTTATTGTACTTTGAGATAGTAAAATGTAGTTCTGACTCCTATAATACCATGAAAATTATGTTTTCTCTAAACCGGAATAGTATTCTGTATCTGTACTTGTATGAAAACTATGTAATTGTAAATATCTGGATTCACCAGTTGCACTTGTAAAATACTGTATTACAGTTTTATTAGTTAATAAAACTATGTGAAGTTGTTTACTTATTCATACACTAATCGTATTGTTCAATACCAAATTGTGAGTTATCATAACCATGCTTGATGACCTAAGATGGCCTGAACACGACGTTCTTCAGGCGTCGCTATCGGTACGACATTTGTCACCTCAGGCTTGTCGGCCTAGCTATTCCAAGCAGCTCAGGTGCGGGATTGTTAGTCCCGTATAGATCTATACACAAGTGTCACGCTTTCCCTCCAGGAGACTCTGGTTATAATATCAGGACTTGATTGGTACTCAAATAAGTACTTGAAGTGTGTCTCACAAATGCTATATTGATGATTATGTATAGAATAATGAAAAGTTACTTTGTAATGAATAAACTTAAGTATATTTCATAAATTATATTTAATATAGTTTGTATGTTTGTTTCTGTATTGTAACCTGAACTTGTAAAATAGTACATTTGTTCCATAAACTATACTATTATAGTTTATCTGTTTGTTTTTGTATGAAATCCCAAACTAGTATAGTAGTATGTTTATCCTGGTAAAAACGACAGTTGAAAATTATTTGAATAGTTTTGTTATTAACACAAGATTTCCTTGTGTTTTATTTGTATTTCCCCCCTTAAAATATAAAAAGATAGTGAAAACGTAGGGGTATGAACCCACTTGAATAAGTGGTGATTCGGGCAGCACTTCGTTACTAGAAATAATTTTCCTTGGCTAAACCGTGAGTTTCTGTTGAAAACCGGGCTTTGCGCGGGTAGACCTTCGAACCGGAAATACTCTTTTCTCGAGAACTTCGGGGGCTCCGAGGCTTTCTTCGGGTGTTAGGGAGGTTCTCTAAGCTTCGGGGGGTTTAAAGTGGCTTAAAATGGTGTTAAAAGTGAAAGGAATAGCAAATTTTGTAACATAAACCCGGAGATATCGCATACTATTTATATGGGACTTCTGACCTCGGAGCACAGGGCGTTCCTACGACGAGCGCAGCGCGTTCTGAAGCGCAGGGCGTTCCTTCGGACGCAGCGCGTAGGAGCGAGGCGTGTCTGCTATTCGGTTTACGGGCTTCGGACGTGTCAATGGTGCGAGATACATGTCCATCTGCATGAGAACGCGGGGCGTTCCCTTGGACGCATGGCGTTCCCCTTCCGATAAGCCTCGAAGTGTGTGTCCAAAACTTCAAAAGTTCATAACTTTTGCATACAAACTCCGTTTTTGACGTTCTTGATATCCACACGTAGGTGAGACCGTACTCTACGACTTTCGTTTAGATTCCATTGGCTAATTTTGAATTTATTTTTAATATTATATTTTTAACAGGTCGGGACAGGAAAAGTCCGTTAAAATTCCATAACTGCTTCATCCGATGTCCGTTTTCGTCTGTCTTTTTACCGTTGAACTACTAATGACGAGATCTTCGATTCTCGTTTAGGTTGCATCGGCTAAAAATCACTCGATCTTTAATTCGAATTTCGGGTTGTATACTGCTATGCCGAATCTTAGAAAAATCATAACTTCCTCATACAAAGTCAGATTTGGACGTTCTTTTTATGCACATTCTTGGTTTATCGTTTACTACAACTTTCATTTAGATACCTAAGGCTAAAAAGCATTTATTGTGAATTCACTTTTTACGTCACACAGTGTCGTGTCGGTTCCGTCGCGAAACTTCGATAGATCATAACTTCTTCGTTATAACTCGGTCTTCAGCGTTCTTTATATCTCCGAAATCCTTGTTACGACCACTACAAGTTTCTTCATAGATATAGAGTTTATCTAACATTTTATTTTTGAAGATCATTTTTATCTTAATTTATTACATCTTTATAAATAATTAAATGCACATAATATTCAAATAATTCCTCTTTATTACATTAAAACTAGTTACAATGGCTAACCCAGACTATTATATTGACTTGAAATATTGGGTTGTTACAACTTGGCTCCCCCTCAACAAATGGATTAGCTTCTTGTTGCTCCACTTCAACATAATCTTGTAAAGGTAACGACTCCCCCTCGATTAGAGGTTGTGTAGTCAAGTACTCCCCCTCAGCCGGACTTGATGTTGAAGTTTGACATTCTTCGACGTTAGCACTTGGTGCCGATGATGAATATTCATCTGTTCGTCCATTTGTGATTGTAGAGTCAACTGAATGCTTCGACACTTCCGGTATTTGAGTGTCCTCGATATTGACTTTAGAATCAATTGCTCTATCAGATTAACATCATTTGTGATTGTAGAGTCATCTGAATGCTTCAATCACTCAGATTCTCCTTCCTTCCTATCAAGTGACATGAGCAAACACTATCGATATACCAGTTTTCATCATACTGCTCCTTACATAGTACCTGCGATTATTCAAAGAGATTTAGGTCCCCAAGGCTTTTTGGGTCCTTGGATATTAGTGTGAAAAATTATGTGTAGTGACGAATTAAAAATCCAACTACGAACTTTTGTTTTGATTTTGTCAATTAAATCAACTTCGTCGGTTTTGGGCACATAAAAATAATCATTCATTATCAAACTTTTAACTTTGATTTTCTCATTTTTCATCATTTTTTCTTAGAAAAATCAACTTTTTTTGTTTTAACTTCTTTCCATTTTGACATTTTTGACACTAATTCTTGGGATGAAGTACTTCCACTCATCGAATCATTCAAGTAATTCTCATAAGCCTTTTTGACTTGTTCTTGAGAATACTTATCCGATTGAAATTGCTTTCCTTTTCCTTCAAACCAATGATTGAAACTTTTCATTTCATTTTTTCCCTTAATGAAACATTCGATTTATGCCTTGAATCTAGATTTGGAAAACATGGACCAACAAGTTTGAATGGTACATTTTTCTTTAAAACATTTGTTGGTTTAGAAAAACTCGTTTGCGAAAAAGTTTTGTGTGATTTTTGCTGAAACGATTTTGATATCCAAATTGAGATTTCTGTTGAAAACCATTTTGATTTTGTGAAAAAATCTTTTGAGCATTTCTTTGAACATGATTTTGCTCTTTTTGAACTTGTTTCATTTTTGAACTTTGATCAACCTTCGTCTGTTGAGAAAAATCATTTTGATTCTTGTTATCAACCTTCTTGCTAACAACTTTGGGATCAACTTTCAAAAGTTCTTTTGGAACTTGAGTTTTAGGTTTTTGTGAAAACTTATTTTCCTGAGTTTGTGGCGATTTTTGTTTCAGTTTCTTTTCTTTTTGAAAATCTCTTCTTTTCTTCCAATAAGCTTTATTTTGAGCTTTATTTTTGGAAATTTCGTCTTATGAAACAGTCTTTTCATCATCGTTTACACAAGTTTGAGTCTTCTTATTTTGTTTATTTAAATCATTTGGTAAAGGCTTCTCAAAACATTTCTCTGCTTCGCCTTCGACATCAGTCTTGGCAGTTTTCACAACCCAAACACCATTTTTGTTTTCTTTGGGAAAAGATTTTTTCTGACTCTTTTGACGTTGGAAAGTTTTTAACCTTTGATTCAGATTACTTTCCTCAACATTTGATTAGAATAAAATCCTTCATCAATCACTTCTGAATTATCTTCTTTTAATAATTTATTCAATTTAGGATTGACATTATCCCGATTTCCTTTTGTAACGAAAACTTGGTTTGGAAGTCCTTTAATGAATGTTGGATAAAGAACTGAGTTTTGTTTAAGAAAATGTTTTCCTTTATCTTTCAAAACTTTCTCAAATTCCTCAGAATCCTCAAATACTTACAACTTGAGGAATTTCTTTTTCAGATGAATCATCATCATTGTCACTTTCATTATTCGTTATGTCTTCAACAACTGACTCTTGTGAAACACCAATGTTGGTCGTCAAACATGAATCATCGTTTAGCTTCATTCTTGAATCATCATTTACTTTGCTATTAGCTAACTAAGTGATATTAATGACTGACAATTTTGTGCAATCAACACATTCCTCTTCCTCAATTTCATTGATATTATCAGAATCATCTTCGATATCAGCAAAATTTTGTTAAGTACCGTGTGTCGAATTCTCAATTTTTTTCAAAATCTCTACTTATTCGTTTTTAGACAAGGTACCATTCACAATATTAACCAAATCATCAACATCTAAGCAATCATTGATATTAACAACACCATAAGCATAATAATAGTTAGGAACTTGTTCATATTTAACTATTTTAATCTCACAATCAAAGGTAGTTTCATCAACTAATTCATGTTTGAAATTTGTAAGTGAGAGTAACTTACTATGCTGTTTGTTGCATATGTCAAATGAATGATAAATGTCATTTAATTTCCCATACAGACGTTTAACAATGTTACGGTAAATATTTCTTTGCTTAATCAACATGCTATTATCCATCCTCAAGGAATCCCTATCTATAATGACATTTATGATTTTTAACTCTAGGCCTTCTATCCTATTCCTAGTGTTCTTCTCTTCCAATTTATTTCTTGCTTCGTAAATCATGACCTTAGTTTTCTCCGCTTTGCTACTCATATAAATCAACATATCATTCAGGTAAGCGAAAGTATCATAAAAAACAAATTTCATTTCCTTTCCTTTATCTTCTTTTCTTTTTGTATTTTCTTTTCTCGTTCTTTTTCTTTTCTTTGATTAAACTCGAGAACTCCATTAAAGTTCAAAACTCACAAACACTCTCTAAAACAAAAAGCGCTCCCAAACACCGCTAACCCTAAGACAAATTTGACGCCTTCTCCATATTCCTTCTCTTTCTACCAGACTACCACCCTGCTCCCGAGTTCAACTTAAGAAGATAAAAGAAAGGAAATGAGTGGAAATGAGTGGAGAGTAAGATAAATCGGTGCTTCCGAATTTCATTAAAGGATGAAAATGGAAGGAAATGGAAGGCTCACTTCCCTCCTAACTTCCCCTCTAACTTTCCTTCCTATTGGAGGATCAAAGAACAAAATTTTTAACTTACCCGTTAACTCTATCGCCGTTCACCCCCACACCACTGTGTACCGTCGCCGTCATCGTCGCCTTCTACTTCGCCTCCGCGTTCGCCTCTCACCCGCCTCCACCTTCATCCTCTCCACCGGTTGAGGCTACTTCGCCACACAACCATCGTCACCATCCGCTTCCACCCACGACGCCACCTTCCTCGCCGAAGAGAGCATCACCAGTGTCGACGACTTCTCTACCATTATTGCCAACGACAGCCTCCCCACCACTCCATTTTGGGGATTTTTATGGTAAGAACCCTAAATTCATAATTTTTTGGTTAGATTTTAGTAAAATCTTTGTAATTAGTTTTTGGTTTTTTGTTAGTTATCGATTTCTATGTTTCATTGGTTTTGAAACACTTTGATCAAGGAAGAGCACCGATGATGTACTTTGAATCTTTCGCAACTGATTATTTGAACACCGTAATAAATTTTACTTTACGTATTTATTGAATTTTTTGATTTGGGGTTAGAAGAAACTTCATCTCAGTTCATACCTACTAGTTTCCAATGTTAGATTCTGTTTTCTGATGCAATACTTAACACAAACAATTTTCAAATTAATCTGCATTCTGCAGTACTTTGTAAATACATTATTATAGCCAGCAGTTTTTCTTGATTAAAAATTCATCATAGAAAAGATTGCCCATTTGACATTCAAATTTTATGTTGATAACATATTGTTCTTACATGAACAAAGTACTTATTATTTATTGGCATTGTGAGAAGGATAAATTGTTTTGGAATTTTGTAAGCCATCTAATGAATTAGGGTAGGTCTTACTAATTATGAAATAAGTGCTAATAACAGGACTTTTTTGTTTGTCATTTCACATTATCTACATCCCAAATACTTTGTATATATACAAACCAAACAAAAATACACAAAAGACCGAATTTGAATTCCATTTCATTTCCTTCCAACCAAACACATGGTAGAATTGAATTTCTTAACACTAAATGCATGATAGAATTGATCAATCTGATTTCAATTAAAAAAATCATCAGGATCAAGTAACTTTCATGTCTTAACCTCCCAAGTGTGGAATTGAGCTACATTGCACTAATTCATTTATGCTATTATGGATCATGTTTCTTCATAGTTCTGATGCTCAATTGTTGAAAAATCTTATAACTGAAAATATTTATATAATTATTATGCATGAGGATTATTTATTAATACCAGGAAAATGAAACTTATGGTCTTGATGCCATTATAGCTTCTCTTCTTGATTGCTAATGATGATGGAGCTTTTGTAGTTTCTCCTCTCGATTGCTAAAGAACATTCCATTTTTTGTTTCTTTGGACATGCAGTGATAGTATAACAAGATGGATGACAATGATAGTCATTTTAAATCCAAGAGAATTGTTTTTGTGACTGACCAAGTGAAAGAAGAACTGTCAAAGAAAGGATACACCCACCTTGTCATTCAAATGGGTCATGGATCCTACATCCCCCAAAAGGTATATTTAATTATGTTTTTATATTAATTTACTTTAAGTTGATTGAATTAAATTGAATCTAAGTTGATTGAAGCCATATCTACCGGATAGAGTTTGACTTTTACGTGTTTGACTTGATTTGCTAGTTGCAATCAACCGCTATATAAAAAATTTGTTAATCCCCCAATTGCCATTTCATTTTGATAGAAACATATCTCGCTTGAGTACTTCAATATTCAAAGCATATTACCTCAGTGAAAGTTGGATATATTGTTTCTTAGATCAAGGACTTGTTGCATTATTCGGCCTTTTATGCTTAGCAAACAAAATAAACTTGAACTCTTTTTCCTTCTTTTTCAAACTAACAATTGGTCCGGGAGGTATAATATGTCTTCAGAGTAAAATTATATCACACATTCATTGTAGAAGGGTTACAAAGGGTGGTTGAATACAATATTTAGAAGAAAACATAATATTTGTTGTTAATAAACTTTTAAAGGTTAAGTTGATGACTTGTTGTATATTTAGCTTTTAGATAGATGCCCTTTTATGTAATTTTACATATTTCAAAAGCTTCTATCTACTTTTGCCAAACACTCATAACAAAAGCTCTAGCTTCCGGTTACCAGCTAGTTTTGCCAAACACGCCCTAAGCCTACAAGCATTTTAAAAATGAATTGCTTTACCAAGTGTTACACGATAAAAAAGAGAAACAAAATATAATAAAGATTTTAAGAAAGCATATATACATCATGCCCTTTTTCCAATCTTTATGGTGTGTTTATGTATATACGTGCCACTTTGTTACTTGATAAACATGAAAGATGTGAATAGTTTAGAACTTATTCTTAAAGCCGAATTAAAAAATCGACTGTTAGTGTTTGATAAAGGTTATGGATATGAATCCTAATGGCAAAGACAAACATATGTGGAATTATAATTACGTTGCCCATAATAAAGTTTTTAGAAGCAAAGTATTTACATATTTAAAAAACTGCATAAATTTACATTTGTCGAACAACAATATCATAAAAATCCACAAGCAAAATATCTCTAGATTTAATAAAGCATAAACATCCACCAATAAATGATCTTTAGATATAATAAATCATAAACATTCTGAAGCATTTGATGTTTTACCAACAAAGCAAAGGTTAAGACAACTATTTCGTAAACAAAGTACCGAATGACAAATTCATGCGTTACATGTGTTTGGGTATGAAGTACATAGAAGCTTAAAGATATAAAGTGATAGCTTGATGTGTTTGGGTATGTTGTACATACAATGTTATATTATTTACCAACATAATAATAGGGCGACATACATGATTATATAAACTTGATGTAGGTTTGCATGAGACATCATCAATTTGATTTTGCTTCTCTAGATGTTTAGGAGGTTAACTTTTGATGTTTAGAATTGAAGTATGTAAAATACTTATGAATTTAGAACTACTTACCTTTATTGTTAGTATTGATCAATAAAGATCTATTTATAGGACGTATCATCTATGTATTAACTATTACTTGCTGTGATTTCTAATATTTGGAAGATACTAACGATAAGTGCCACATATGTATCCAATAGTTGAATTGAGCATACAAAAGCAATTGTATCAAATAAATATTAAAAGTTTTGCCTTAAAAGCTATTGCAACTTTATCCTGCATGTAGATTTGGAGATCCTTTTTGTAATTTTTTCTAGTTTGACCACCCTTAACTGTCATAGGATCATAAGTCCTTTATGCTGCCACAACAGCCCCCGCGGTGTGCAACTTGCATTTTTTCTTACATCATTTGAAATTTGAATTAATATACCACGCGACCAAATAAAACACACAATATTATCAAACATTTAGGAAAAAAACTAGTGTACTGTTGAAATGGGTTAATTGAGAAGAGGGGCTCTTTATGCATTATATAATTAATATACCAAACTAGTCCACTTATGTCAAGGGACTTGAACCCTCAATCTCAAGAAGTGAGCGCAACACTTGTAAATTTAATGGATTACTTTTGAAATCACCTCATTCTGTTGATTTCGGTTTACAAAAACGAAAGTCCTCTGTTAGTGGTAAAATAGTTATTTTTTTCACTCATGTCGTTTATTCAATCCATAAAGCAAATATTATTATTATTATTTTTATACAACACTTAACTACAAATACACAATATTTATCGATTCTAACACTATATTCACACAATACTTAATGAGAAAAACGGAACAAAGCCTTTAGATGTCAACAACTAAGTATTTGAAATGGTTGTGGATTACGAACTACTTATAAATAATTTTAATTGCCATTGTTGGCATTAAGCTTTGAAGATCTATGTACATGATGTATCTTTAATACGACTTGGGGCGACTTGGGGTGTGTTTGACAAAATTAGCTGGGAGAGGGTAGCTTGTTGCTTGTAGCGTTTTGTTAAAAGCTACATGAAGTAGCATTTGGATTTGGAGCGTTTTGTTTAAACTAAACGCTAGAAGCTTGTAGTGCCAAACAATGTTTTCTGTTCAAAGTGGAGCGTTTTGTCAAACGCTAGAAGCTAGAAGCTCGCAAACGCTACGTGCCGAACACGCCCTTGGTATAATTTAATTTTTACCCTTCATGGCAATAGACATACATATGAGGTGTTTATATATAATAGATGTGATATTAGCATACTATAATTGTTGTAATTATTAATATAATATAATTTTAGTTGGAAAAGTCACCATAAAAGAGAACTTGCAAAGCATCAAAACATTTTTTCCCCTTAAATATCCTTGCTACGAGGCGTGAGTGCGTTTTGTTTGCTTTTCTATATGTGGCACAAATTTGATCCTACAAACATTTGAAAAATGAACTATTATACCAAGTGATCACACAACAATAAAAGGGAAACAAAAAATAACGAGACATTTCGAAAAGGGCGGTGATTCGTACTCAACACTTTTTAGTCATATACAACAAATTATGTTTTATACAGTTATACAATACAATCATATAAATCATAAATTGTTGTGTATGGCTAAAAAGTGTTGTGTACAAATCACTACTCTTTTGAAAGTATAGGATCGAGCCAAGAGTTGTAAGTATTAACAACCGTATAGTATGCATTTTGGCATGGTGTTTCACAACATTATAAAACATGTGAATAATTGTGAAATTGAAGCGATCATCAAAACAGAATACACAACGTGGATGCAATCAAGTATTAAGTGTTGAAACAACATATCAACAACCAATAAGGAATAAAGTCCTGATACTTAAATGTGCGAGTGGAGAAAGTGTATTTAAATCTCCTACTTAATGAAAGGTGAGCACCATAAATCTATCATGAAACATCGTGTAAAAAAGACAGGTGAATTCCATGCAACCATTTTAAAATCCACTAATCTTTGATCCCATATGTTTTTCTTTAAAATTGGATTTAGGTATACAATGTCAATCGCTTACTTACAAAACAAAAGAATACATTGATTTACCATCTCATTCAAATCGCTATTTGATTGAAAAAAGATTGAAAACTTATAATAAATATGTAGGGCCATACCTAGTTAGAGTCCCTTTAACCATCAAATCCAAATAGAATAACAATATGATCTGTAAAAACTACCACCATAAGAGATTGTTCTGAGCATAAACTAATTACTTAAAGAGTTATCTTGTCATGTGGTAGTTATTGTGGCAATTTGTTGGTTGTTGAAGGCATCTAGTCTAGGTGATGCAAGTAAGAATCAGATCATTCATAACTATTCCTTCTACCTCTTTCGGTTTCGTGTTATTAATAAAAAATCTCCTTAAGTATTCTATTCATTTATTAAATAATAATGTCATTTTTTCCGCACTTACGAGTTATTTTAAATTGTGTAGGCGGAGGAATTGACACTATTGTTTAATGAATGAATAAGATGTTTAAGGAGGTTTCTTATTAATAATACGAAACTGAAAGAGGTAGAAAGAATAGTTATGGATCACCTGTTCTTGTTCTCATTACCTAACTGTATCTAGTTGCCTTCAATATCTAACAAAATAGCCACAATAACTGCCATATAACATGTTAGCTCTTTAAGCAATTAGCTTCTCCTTTGGACGATTTTTTATATGGGTGTTGTCTATACGGATCATACTATATGCTATTTGGATTTGATGGTTATGGGACTAATAAGACCCTACATATTTATTAGAATTTTTCAACCATTTTTTTTCAATCAACATGTAATTCAAGTGATTTGGTAGATCAATGTTTCTTAATTTTCGTATAAGTATAATGTTGATAACGTATACCTCATCCAATTTTGAGGAAAAAATACGACATAAAATATTAGTGGATATTGAGATGGTAACTTGGATGAACCTCAATCTACTTTTTTTTTATGGCGTCCACCCTTCGTGAAGTAGGAGAATTAAATACCTTTTCACCACTTATCACGACGTTATTTCTTCCTGGTTATTGATATGTTTTTTCAACAATTTATAGTTACTTGTATTCACGTTGTGTATTCTGTTGTGATAATCGCTTAAAATTTTCAAATATACATGTCTCACAATGCTGTGTAAACATTGTGCCAAAATGCATATTATATTGTTGTAAATACTTACACCTCTTGGCTTGATCCTAATTCCTATATATATATATATATATATATATATATATATATATATATATATATATATATATATATATATATCAGTGTTGTCAATAGCGATCATAGCGATCGCTATTGCGTTTAGCGAGGCGAGGCGTTGGTGTGTCGCTATGGGGCTTATAACGAGGTAATAGCGACGTAGCGATAAAATGTTTTTTTTTAATTAAATCGATTTTTTGTATAAAATGGCAAAATTGATTGCTGGAACATGTTTTTACTGATCGGAATTGGTCTAATTATTGATCGGGATTGCTAATTTTGCATTTGGGATCGCCAATTTGGTGTTTGGATCACCGATTTGGAGATTGGCAGGAAAACCATCGATCGAAAAAAAAAAGTTGTGCTTCACCTCTTCGATTAAGTTTCTGAATTCTAATGCTATGATTAATGCTTCTAATATATTCAATTGATTATATATTCCATATTTCTGTACTCCTATTCTACAATTCCTTTAACTGCCTATACCACAATTCCAGTGTTACCACTTTTCTTCTAGTTTTGCTTTCCTGTTTGAAGTTGTTTGAAGTATAAATTAGGTTTGAAGTGTTAGAAGTTCTATTTTTAAGGAAACTTTAATTTTTGTTTTTATGTTAAATGTTATTAAAACAAATAGGAGCAAGGTTTTCTGAGATTTGTGTTAGTTTGATTCCAAGTAGTATGATAATGGAAAGTTTTCCTGCATTGCTCCTTCTCTCCATATCAGCTTCAAAGGTTTTTGTTCTAGATTATTTTACACTTCGTTTCTTTCTTTGTTGTACACCTATGTACTTACAATTTCTGTTCTTCTCAGTTATAATTTGAATGCTTATTGTGAATCAGTTATTTAATATTCATGTTTTAGAACTTATTTGAGCCACTAGTATTGGTTTATAGCTTATTTATTAGTTATAATTGTTAAATAGGTGAATGTATAAATAATATTAATTTTTTATTAGGCAATCGCTAAAATGAAATAGTCGTCGCTATTCCATCGCTATAGCTACGTAGCATATAGGTAGGTTATCGCTATAACCTCGCTATCGCTATCGATAACACTGATATATATATATATATATATATATATATATATATATATATATATATATATATATATATATATATATATATATATATATATATATATATATATATATATATATATATATATATATATATATATATATATATATATATATATATATGATTTTCAAAATCTTTTGTTATTTTTGTTTTTGTTATTTTTATTATTTTATTATTTTTTTCTTTATGGTGTAGTCACTTGGTATAATAGTTCACTTTTCAAAAGCATGTAAAATCAAATTTGTGCAACACATAGAAAGACAATCGAATATTTTTATGGTAACACATCTCTTGCCCTCGTAACAAGGATATTCGTGGAAAAAGAATGTTATTAACGTTTTGCAAGTTGATGTTGTGGTAGTTTTCTGGATTAAACTTTATTATATTGTTAATTACAATAGTTTTTCATATCTTTTAGATACAAACAACTCATATGTATGTCTATTGCTATTGCCATGACTTGGGTAGACATTAAGTGGTACTAAGTCGTACATTGAAGATACACCTTAAATAATGTGTCTATAGTTACTGTTGTATGAAAAAACATCCTTTGCGTGGTTTGAATAAACGACATGAATAAGAAACAAATGATTATCTTACACCTTATATCAAAAGACTTTCTTTTTTGTGAACTAGTTCACGAAATCAACAGAAGAATGTGTTAAGGTATAAAGTGACCCTCGGCAGCTGAAGTGTATGAGCCATACCAAAGACCTAAGACCTGATGATTCAAAGGAACTGGCGAAGAGTTAAGGCTCAGCGAAGAGCCTTGTATGTTTTGAGTTACACCGAAGAGGAGTCGACCGAAGAATGAAGATTCCTTAGTTGTCTTTTCATAGCTTTATGCTGACATTTCTTGTAAGACTATCCAAATCAGTCGTAGGCATGGGCAGTATGGCCGCCTAACTATTATTTTATATTTTATCATGTACTGTTTTGCTCTTTAAATAGATGATCATGTTGATCAATCTAAACACACCTTCACTTCCATTATACTTCCTGTGTGTATTCGAAATATTGAAATACAGAAGTCTCTTTCTCAGATTATCTCTTATCTTATGTTGTTCATCAATTACTAACTTGGTCTTGACTGCAAGCCTTGTTACGATTCAACTATGTTTTATTGTTTAGCTTTCTTAAAAGATCTATTGAGATTAACTTATTCCATATCTATCTCAAATATTATTCAAAAGTTAAGTTTTTCTTCTCTCAACAATTTGTATCAGAGCAATAGTGGTTGCTTTTTAATTTTCTTTAAAAACCAAACTTGTTTTCAAAAGAAAAACTCTGATTTAAAAAGCCTTCTATACCATTTAGCTCATCTTTTTAAATCTAAGGAAAATGGCACAAGCTTATTCTCTAAATATATATAACAGTGTCGGAGGTTCGGATAGAGCTCCAATACTCGTTGCAAGTGAATACCATCATTGATCTCAAAGAATGGAGAGATATCTAAGAAGACTTGGAAAGGCCACGTTTAGAGATCTGTAGAAGAAGGACCACATGTTCATATTCTCACACCCATTTTCACTGACGGTGACCAAGTTAGACTTGGAGGAGGTTAGATCGCCATGACCAAACCCACCAACAATGATATTGAAAAAATGAAGAAAAATTCTATAGCCTTCTATGAAATCTCGTGTGGTTCCTCCAGATAGTTTTGATATTATCATTAATTGTAAATCTGCTAAAGAAATTTAGGATATACTCAAAAATCTTTATGAAGGTATTGAACAGGCACAACACAAGAAGCTCACCACTGCACTCAACGAGTTTAACAACTTCAAAGCACTACCTGGTGAAAGTCTTGATGATTCCTTCAAAAGATTCAACCTCATCGTTACAAGATGCCAAGCGTTGGTACAGTCAGAAGCAACCATGAAACAAACCTATAGTTTCTAAATGGCTTGGGTAGAACAGTGGACTACAACAAAGATGATCGTCCAAGGAGATAGCAAGATCTAAACGCTCTTCGTACAAACTCTACGGTGAGCTCCAAGCACAAGATTCTACGGTGATGAAAGACTGTGGATCTCGGTGGACCATTAGCACTTGTTGCTTATATACCTCAGTTTCCCAAAGGATCTCAGTATCCCCATACCAGAGACTCTTTATATCAAACTCCATATGACAACTCTTCTCAGTCATATGAAGCACATATGGAGCTAGAAGATGAAGAAGGTTTTCAAAATGCCTTAGCTCTTGTCAGTTAACAGTTCAACCGACTTCCACCACCCAACTTTCGCAAAAACCAACAGTTCACAAGACCACCTTTAAATAGAAACTACAACTCTCAAAACAATCCATCTCCCCATCCAAATCAAAGGTATCACAGAAATCCACCTTATCAGTCTCACTCTCAAAACACATCTATGATGATCACAAACTCCACTGAAACACCACATGAAGACAAATCCTCAGACATCAACAACGTCCAGGAAGAGAAAAAGGATGGAGTTCTCATCTGTCGCAAGTGTCATAAATAGAATCACTTTGCAAGGGACTGTAAAGCCAATGTGGTCAAGGACAAAACATTCTACCTCAGAATGGCTCAGGAGGTGGAAGATAAAGAAAAAGTAAAAGCATTGGTAGCTCAAGTTCGAAGAGACCACCAAGTTTGGTATTTAGGAGATGAAGATGATAAACCTGACAACAAGAGAAAAAGAGGAAATATATGTCTTGTTGCAACCGAGAAAGATGGCTCAACCAATTTGAAAAAGAACTACTGTTACATGGCCAAAGAAGGAACTCTCAACATCGTGGAACAGGTAAAAAATTATGATTCAATCAAATAATTATAACATGCTTGAATGTGAACCTCATTTAGACAGACTGACTCAAACGTGTGCTGACGTCCTTACAGATTATAACAAAACCTTAGATGAAAAGAACATAGCGACCCAAGAGCTGTATCACTTGAGGGGAAGACTAGTGGACAAAAAAGCTTCAGGTCACTAAGGGCCTGTTTGATTTACCCTCTTACTGGTCCAGTAAGAGATTATCTCTTATTGGGTCCGGTAAGAGTGTTTGATATCATAAAATATAACATCTTACTAGGTCAACAACCTCTTACCAACTCCACATAAAAAAGACGCCGACTGAGAAAGATAAGAGATTGTTTACCTATCTGCCGTTCTCCTTTTCACGCTTTCCTTCTCCTTGCCCACCTCCTACATCTGCAAGGGCAAACTGATATCTGCACCACTCTCGTCTCCTCTAAACGATGCCTTTTCCGTCCTCGTCCAACGTCACCGTATCTAGCGACGCCGCCTCCTCCTCCTCCTTCCCCTCATCCTTCGGTATGTCTCTCCCTCTCCTAATCGATCTGTGATTTAGATTATTGCATCGATTCACACTGAATCTCTTCTCACTGCTCGCTCAATCTCTTCTCATTGCTCGTTCAGTTTGATCAATTACAAGATCAGAATGGTATTCCCTTTCGTTCTTTATGTAAATTGTCACCTAGTTATGTGTTGGCACTCTTAATATTAAAAAATGAAACTGAAGTGATGCTAACCATTGAGAATTTGACCGAAACAACTTCGAATTTAACTGCTAATAGGGACGATGATTATGCAGAAAGTTTTAGGGGCAAGGTTAGTAAGCGATATAGGAGAGTAAAGTGATAGCAACAACTGGAATGGTGTCAAATGGAAATTTTTCGAGACAAGGTTGAAGGGATTTGTTGATGGAGGTGCAACCATGAAGACGTTGAACAGTTTTTGTGCTCGATGCCTACCTGCTTAGTGATGAATGTGAATTGGGCATGGATTTGGTCAAGAACATACATCGTGAGCATTATAAATCATCCAAGATCTTTTTGTTTGATATATATTCTATGCAACTTGTTCGTGCATTGTGTTTCAAGTTGTTGCAATTGCTATTGAGATACGTATTGTTGTACAACACACTGTGTGAAACAGAGGTTCTTGATGTTTCTGTAAAATTTGTTTGGGAATTAGTCATAGGAAAGATTATATCTTTTTGTTATTGAATCATATTGATTGTGGGGAAATAAAATACGGGTTTTCTCTGTATGTTGATAATTTCCTTGACTATGGGTTTTTTCCTGTGTATTTTGTAAATGTATGAATTATATGCATTTTATATTTGGATTTGAAATGATTTATCAAACAAATACATTTTATCCAATACAAAATAGAACATAAGGGTAATATGGTCATTTTCATCTCAGTCAGATGCATAATCAAACAATATGGTTTCAATCAGAACAGACTCAGTAAGATTTTCTAACTCAGTCAGACCTGACTCAATCAACAGCTATCAAACAACCCCTAAGCTAGAAAGGAATTTGTTATTATAAAAAGATGCTAAACTACTTTGTGAAACTCAACTAGATATAACTTTCAATCAACGGGATTAGCCCGCAATGAAATTATACGCTTGAATCTTTTAATAGAAAAACTGTTTAACGAAAGCGAGGCTATTGAGAACCTAGTGAACAATGGATCTGTTGATAACTCTTATAACTGGGGATGGTCCAATGGTTATCGTACTGGAGAGAAATCTCCACCACGATTTGACGCTGATCACCTTATGTCCCTCCTGACCGGACCTTTCACTATCCCACTAATGACAAGACCTTCCCTGAGGACTTAATGTGTCATTTTGGAAAACCTCATGCCCTTAACAATAACTGTGTAATAGAGGAAATCCTCCTATAGGAAACCTCTGAAAATTAACAGTCGCTACCCATCACTGGAACAATCCATTCAGGATCTAGTTCCGAGGTAGATGAGGAAATCATTGTGGAAGGACCTAATGCACCATCAAAGTCCACTGAGGACTTACCCATCTCATGCTCTGCGGACCCCAGTCCTTGTCCAACATAGAAGTCTTACTGAAGACCTTTGTTAAAACAACATCCAAAATTCAACCTCTTCCTTAAGGGGGTTAAAAACGGTCAAATTGAAATTTGCCAATGCTCTCGATGTCATGAACGTTACAGTTCTGACGACTCATCTCCCAGACCTATACTGAAGAATCAACTTTTCAAAGCAAGAATTTCAAGGAAAAAGGGTTTATCGAAACCCCCAGAAGAAAAAACTTTTCAAAATCATTCCGTGGTAGTCAAATCATTTCAAAATCACTCTGCGGTAAATAAATCTTTTCAAAATCATTCAGAAGCAGAGAAAACATTTCAAAACAACACAAGATTAGAAACCTTGTCTAAACTCTCTTCAGAAAAGGATCACAAAATCAAAGGTCTCTTTTAAACTCCGAGTCCATCAAAAAACAAGACTGCAGTGTCCATATTCCAGACCAAATCTTTACATAAATCGAAGGACTCTTCGGTCACCCTTAATTCCAATATTGGACAAAGAGACAAGTCTGCAGTCCCTGTCAATCATAGTCGAAACAAAATCAAGACTCATGTAAAGACAAAGACAGTCTATAATGTGGGTCAATGAACAGAAACTTACCTTCGGTTTCTACCTACCTGTGAAGAAGATACATCACACCTCAATCTCTGTCTTCAAACAAAAGACAAAAAATCTTAAACCAATGATCAAGAAAACTTGGATAGAAAAATCTATTCCTCGGTCCCAAGTCAAAACAACACAAGTCACCATCACTCCCATGCATTTACATGATAGGAATTTTTCGTACATTGTTACGGGCCCCAAACAAGTTTGGGTGCCCAAATTAAATCATTGATTGTGTAGGCGTTGTGTGTGGAGGACCATGAAGAAGATTGATTAATTGATAGTGCTTGTTCCTTGCACATGATGGGAAGGTTAGAATACCTTCGTGACTTTAGGCCAGTTACTGGTGGTGGATATATTACTTTTGGAAATAATGCAAATGGAACAATTCGGGGTTATGGTGTTCTGACTATAGGCAGCTTCTCTATTCTACAAGTAGCTTCTGTAGATGGTTTAAAACGCAACCTAATTAGTGTTGGGTGTAAAGTTGGTCATCGTGTGAAATCTGATGACAAATACTGCTACATCATGTCAAGTGACAGAGAGACATGTCTCATCAAGTCTAAAGCTGAAGGCATAATGTATCCTCTAGACG